ACCGGCACGAGATGCATGAGCTGCCGTACGGCACCGAGCTGCAGGAGGAGGCGTTCGGTGCAGAGGAAGGGGACGACGGGTCATCGCAACCTCGTCATGACCCGCAGCTAAGTATCCCCTCGCCCTTCGGCCAGAAGCCAAGTGATGTGGAGTGCGTGCCCTTGACGTACAAGGATGTCATTAACTTCAAGTACAAGGTGCTGTGGTAAGCAGCCATAGCAAAGGAGTTCGACGGCCACAAGAAGACGGGGACGTTCTCCGAGATTAGCGGTCTGCCCGAGGGGCGTAAGGCCATCAGTGCGAAGTGGATTTTCTCGCACAAGACCAATGAGAAGGGGCTGATTGTCGACTTCAAAGCACGTATGGTTGCGCGTGGTTTTTCTCAGATTCCCGGTGTGGATTTTCACCACTCATCATCCGCATGCCCTTCCGCGGTGTCCATCAAAACTATGGTGGCCGTATCCACCGAGAATGGTAGGAGGCCTGTCCACTGGGACATCAAGCAGGCGTACACACACGCCAAGCTGAATGAAGAAATCTACTGAGGCTTCCAGACGGTTGTGGTGTTTGGACTGGCAAGGCGGTGAAAGTCGAGCGTGCTCTGTATGGACTCAAGGAGAATGGGCGCGAGTGGGGGTTTGAGGCTGCCGATGCCCTGATCTCAAACGGCTACGAGCAGTGCAGGGTGGACCCCTGCATTTTCCGCAAGGTGGTTGACGGAGAAGTCGTAGGTCTCATCGTGATCTACGTGGATGACATCATGTTGTCCGCGACCGAGGAGGAGCGTGAATAGTTGTTATAATAGCGTCTCTCCAGAAGAGATTCCCTGTGAAGGATCTAGGAGATTGTACCTGGTACGATGGGTGTGCCATTGAGGTGGACCTTGAGAATGGTACCACCAAGCTGTCCCAGACGGCTTGTATCGAGAGCATGCTCAACCGCTTCAATGTCACGACCACTGCTCCCACGCCCGCTGTCGTCGACGATGACCTAGGGCCGAAGAGAGACGACGAGTCCTCGGTGGACAAGCCCGTGAGGGAAGCGATCGGATGCCTGATGTGGGTGCTGTTCACGAGGCCGGACATCGCGCTGCCTTTGAACAAGCTGCAGAAGATCGCCCACTCACCCACTGAGAGGATGTGGAACAGGCGTTCGACGACGGGGCTAGCCGTGACTGTAGGTGGGACCGTAGTGTGCGCATCCACGAAGACACAGCCAGTGACGGCTCAGTC